AAAGAAAAAGATCATTATTATTTCTGATAATCCGGTTTATTTATTTGTCACGTATTTCAAGTCGAGTTAACATGGGGAATTCCCATATGTGTAATTTAACAGGACTTTCAGATACTTACGAATATTACTAATTATAATACATTACGTTTAATTACTGTTCGGCTAGGGACTTTTAATCGAAGTGGAAAGTAATCTCAATGCTACACGTAAAAAAAAAAAAAACAAACCCTTTTTTACAGTAATTTCAAAAAATAAGAAACATTTTAATGCGAATAATATAAAAACATTTGTGATATCGTCTAGTAATTTTTTTCTTTCCTTCATTTATCATTTCAACATCTAGTTGGAAGACGTTCGTACCAACGATCTTGATATGAACCAAAAAAAATAAAAAAAATAAAAAAGTGGGGAGAAAGAGTTGAGAAGATCTGACAAAAGGTCTTTGGAACCAGTTTTCGCCAGACGCGTGTCGCGTCGTACTAAAAATCTTATTTTATCGGTTGGCCAATAGGAACACGATGCATCTTCTTTCGATGACATCACATCCGGCGAATCTTGCAGTATCGATTCTCAATGTCGACCCCGACCCCGACCGGTAAGACCCCTTTCCCCCCTCCCTAATGTCGATTAGAATTCGCTGACGAACCTGAACAATGAATAATTCTGCTTGGATCGGGTCTGGGTCCGGTTGTTTGATGGAAAAAGGAAGAAGTGGAGTGTGTGACCTTGAAGGTTTGTGAGTTTCGCGACCTTCGACGAGATCATAAGTTAGTCTAGGTTTTTTCTAGTGATTGAGATTTATGAATCTTTCCTTAAAACCTTTCATCGTTGAGACAAAGACATTCTTAAGGTGCATTTGTCACGTGCAACGATAATTCGCGATAATCATCAGAGAATTAACATAAGCTTAGTCCAAAGAGAGGATGATGATGATAGTGATAATGATGATGATGATGATTCTTGGATCACGACCTACTTTTTAAATCGAAGTTGCTTAGATTCGACTGTTGGAATGATTGAAAGTGGGTCATGCGTAAAAAGTAACTGTTAGCCAAAGAACATGATGTTTTGTGTTGATCATTGCTGATTAAGTACTGAAGAGAAGAGTCCAATAGGAATGATACTGTAATAATCTATGGTTCACGTGTATTACCTTGAAAGAGAAGGGAAAATAGAAAAGGGAAAAGTTTGATAGATTCATTCAAATGTCACAATTAATGTTTGATATAATTAATAACACTTTAGTGTGGTTGTTCATACAATATGTGTTTGATGGTTGGGTCAACAGTTAGAGTCTTCAATCACACATTTGTGTGATGCTACCGCTGTTTAACCCTTTGAGTGCTGAATACTAAACTAAATATATATATTATAATATACTATATATAATATTACATTATATATGTATACACAATATTCATATTATAATATTATAGTAATATAATATTACTGTATATATAACTAAATAATTGTACAAACTACATAATTAATAAATACAAAATTAATAAAAAAAAAAAAATAATATTTATATTTATATGCAAAATAATACATATAAATTTATATGGATATTTAATATATATTTAATTAATTAATTAATTAATTAATTAATATAAATATGAAATTATTTTACATTAAATATTAACAAACACGTATATGCGGTGAACGACCAATCTAGTTATTTTTACCAAACGCATATATGCGTCCATAGCACTCAAAGGGTTAAAAATTAATTCTTTTAAAAATATTGTCAACAACCCCTGGCAATATTTGACTGCATAGACGTGCTGCCATTATATTGCAAAAACACTCCTCCGCACCCCCGTTACATTTTTTCAATAAAAAAGGGTTGAGAAAGATAGAGATAGAGATGGTTGATAAAATGCGATAGCAACGGTACGAATAAAAGCGTGTGGAGGATAAAGGCTCGCATAAAACGGACGGTAACTTGTCGGTAAAGTTGTTTGATGTGAGTGAAAGGCAACAATGCGAAAGTAAGCGCGTGCGCGTGCGCGGCACAATTCGCTTTACACACTACTAACACACATATAAGAAAATAATGTTTTAACTACGTTAAAAGATCTAAATATGTAGCCACATATGCAACGAGGTCTCTCATGCATGCATATTAAGTTCTTTTATAGTTGTGTGTAGATTGATTTCAAATACAAAGCACGGAATTATTATTGGATTAGCCATATTTAAATCTTATCTTTGAAGTGTCCTTTATCATTTTTCTTCCGTTCTATCAAAACACTTTCTCTTTTTTCTATTAATTAATCCTAAAAAGCCGAAATAATAATAGATAGAATGAATTACGGGGGTTATTGGTTATAGATTAATAAATAGATGACGTGCATTCTGATTGGTGGTTAAATGTGAAAACAAATTTATTACTGAAATAATTTCATCCCCTTTCGTAATTTAACACGTTCCGTGCCACGTGTACCACCGGTGGTACATTTATCATTAGACATATTTATTTAATGCGCTGAAATATTATAATAATAATTATATAATTAATGTTTTTTAATTTAATTATATATTAATTTAATTAATTATTTAATAATATATTATATAATAATATAAGTTAACGACAAATCTGTGCTGGAAAAATTAATACTCGTCCGATCATTAAAGTCAAGCAGCGCTGGACACCGTTTAGTACTTGGATGGGTGACCGCTATAATAATATAATTAATATATAATATAATAATATAATTTATATTATATTAATTAATATTAATTTAATTATATATTAAGCCACGTTGTACCATCGGTGGTACATTTATTATATTATATTAATATTATATATTTAATGCGCTGAAATATTATAATAATAATTAAATATAAAAATATAAAAAAATATATTAATTAATAATATTAATTTTATAATAATTAATAATTATATGTAATGGTTGATTTTTAATATAACAAAATGAAATGGCCTGAATGACAAGTAAGGTAAAAAGGGCCTTGGCACAGAACGTGTGTTAAGGACCAGAATTTGAAGATAAGAGAATAAAAATGTGTTGATTCATTGTCAAGTTAAAAAGATGAATGATAACTTCAAACCATTTTGAATTGTTCTATTTTAATAATCGTCATGATGGGGAAATTTTTGTCTTCAAAGAGACGATGATAATAAAAAGCTTGCAGAAATAAACAAGAACGAAGAAGAATAATAATATATATGACATGGCAGATAAGGTGGTAGTGCACAAGTGGTTGGGATTTATCGCGAATGAGAAGAAGCACGCATGGTATGAAAGTCGTTTTATCCGTAAGGGCTATCGTTGTTAAACGTTGACAACGAATCAAGCACAGATGAGTTCGAGTGTGTTCGCTCGCGTGCTATCTAACGAAGAAGAGCAGATAATGTTTATGACGTACTTTCAAACTAGAGTTCTCCCTCTAAACCAAGAGTGTACACGCGTTCAATCAAATCCATTGTACATAAATACACGTATGAAAAAGCTTACCCTACCTACCATCATATCGGACAATAGAAATGATTGTTAACCCATTAGTAGGACTCATGTGTATATGCAGTACCTGCACCTGCACGCCAAGAGATCTCTAACGAGTTTTCACGCTTGTACAAGCACATCGACTTTGCTTATACGATAAACGATACGTGTGTGGGTGGCTAGCGAAAATAAATGCCCTTTTTATCGACGCGAATTGACGAAGGTGAGTTGAATGATACATTGATTAAAAGCAAGGATTATAATTACGATTTAAAGCTTAGTTATTGAATATTTTTTTTTTTTAATGTGTTTGTTGTTACTTCAATGAATTTTATATATGAATCCCCCATGAGAAAGACACACGGTGGTTCGTACAATCATAAATTTAATTCGTATTAACGTCGCTCAAAAGCTGTTTCTCTGCTTAGAGCACTGAGCGTGCGCGTCGGTCTCCTATAAGGTGGTAAGCAACGTTGCCAGTTACGAGATTAAAGGTCAACTTGTCCAAGTCTAGGCTGAAAGGTCGCTAAGCGAAGGGGAGGCCGGATGTGATCTTTGGAACGAATGTTATCTTGCACTTTTTTCCCTTACTTATATCGATCTCAAAGATCTTTGATAAAATGTTATTTGATTTCAAACAAATTCTTTTAGCAGGAATTATCGTCCTAACCCTCTTTTCACTTTTTCTTTCCTTTAGATTAAATCGTAACAGTTAAATTGAAATATTAGGTTTATCGGAAAGTTCTGTACATTTTTTGAATAAAACAAAAGTAATCAATTTTCACATATTTCTTTAATTGTACTAATATTTATCAATTATCATTATTTATAATTTCTTATCATAGTGTGATGACAATTTATATATTGCATTTTTAAAAAATGTTTTATCTCTAATGACGAAAAATTGAACTGGTGTTTGTCAGAATGAACAGAATTTTCCGGTAGACTTAATATATTTAGATGGTTTGAGAAACGTATGATATTATAGAGCACGCATTAGAAAGAAACTGGGACCACACCCAGAAAAGGAACGCGAGATTTTAGAAGAACAAGTCAATTAGATCCAAATGTTTACGTCATTTTTTCGTAGCAAATATTTCTAACAAAATTCTTGTTTAAAAATGGATAAATATAGAATTGAACAATGATATCAAATGTTAAATGAATTTTTAAAGAATAGGAACAATATGTGTCACACAAGAATACATACGTTGAGAGTAACGTTACGTATTGTTAAACGTGTAACGTGAATTTGAGGAAGCTTCGAGAAGAAAAGGTTGGAAAGAGAAGGAAGGGTTATAGCGTGGGGAATTGGCAATAATAATTGGCGACTAGAGAGGCAAGAGAGGAAAGAAAACGGCGTACAACCTTGCACGAACGACCTCGATCGCCTTCACCGAGGAAACCTTCGCTGCGCGTTGCGTTACTCGGTGTGCTTTTATCGTACGACACAACGACAACGACGACAAGATTGACTTTTGTTAAAACAATATTTATAATTAATATAATAAAATATTTATTTATTGTACTTACTCCTTCATTTCCTTGGAATTGTATCGTAGGGTTCTGGCTGGTACCATGCTGAAACAAATAAAGAAAACAAATATTTATTTAATGTATGGAATAATTTATATTTTTAGGGCTAAATATCGAAAGGGCATATAATTTGAGGGTTATTATTATTCCCCCCTTTGACACGCAACCACATTTTATTCCTAAATCATCTCGGAAATATACGATACGTAAGAAGAAATAATATTAATAATAATTATATTATAATTCTTTCGTCATATAAATATTATACTTATAAATATTAATATTTATTATATATAATATATTATCATATTTATAAATAGTAAATATTAAATATTATAATTATATATATTATTTTTAGATATTAATTATTAAAAAAATTCTATATATTTCGCGACTACCAGGATTCGAACCCACGATGTTGGGGTTAGAAACCTGAAACTCTAGCTCTGAGCCACGAACAGTTTTTTCATTAAAATCTATTATTTATTATATATTATATATTTAAATATTAATTTTGACAATTAATATTTTACAATTGCGTTAGATAACTAATATAATTTTTTGGTAAAACAAAAAGGTGAACTAACCAACCCACTGAACTCTTGGTTTTTACACCAACCCCCTCAGTTCTCATTTGAGACAAATATGCAACGTATGAAGAATTGGTTCGAAAGTTGGGGGTGAGTAAGGTTCAAAAGGGATAAAAAATAATAATTAATTGTTAAGAGTAACCCAATGACAAAATCACACCCCCTGTATATCACCTCATTAGGTAATTTCTTATGTAACAATTCAAACACAAGAGAGTTCTCAATTAAACTCGCATGAAAATCAAATTCTTATCGATACAATTAATTTTGTTATCATCCAGATGCAAAACTTGATAGAGAAATCATGAAAAGCAGTCTTTATGGTGCAAAGGAGTACACATATCATATCACCAGTTATAATCTTAGGACTTGCATATGATTCTATGTTGAATTTTGTAGACTCTGTGGTAAACGGTGAGTGGTCGAATGAACGATCTACTCAGGGGAAAGGGAAAGTCATGCTGGTAAGAGCTTCGCATTACTTCTGACCAACGTGATGGTGTTGGTACTGATGCTGGTGGAAATGAGACACGAAAGACGACCTGTACAGGAGGATGACGAAAAAAGAAATTCCATCTTCCATCTCTTATGATCCTATCCAAGGATAGGATAAGAGATAGGTGAGAGATAGAAAAGGTTCTTTTTTATCCCTCGAGGTTACTTATAGCAATAAGAAAGAAAAAAAATGATTTGTGAGGATGGTTCGTTCGATTACTTTCACCGACGTATCAAGGATAGATAATTCTTTCATCATATGACCGGCCCTGAACGAAAAAAAAAATTGAGGAAGAAGGAAAAGAGGGAATGGAATGCTCAAAGAAATCTCTTAACACTATGACGTCCGGTGGTTCCATGTTGGTGTCATGCGAAAACTATTGGGTAAGTACTGGTCGCTTTATTTTGATGCCATGCGAAAACTTTTGGGTAAGTGCTGGTGGTTTCACGTTGGTGCCATTCATAAATTATCGAGTATATATAATAATATAAATATCAGTGCGACACGAAAAAACCTAGAAAGACGTGTGGACGAGGGGACAGTGTTAATTGCGATGAAATTGACGAACAACAAAATAGACGAAGAAAGAAAGTAGAAATAAATCGAAGAAAGGATATTTAAAGAACCTTTCTCTCTCTCGCTGGTTTAACAACGTCTTGTTTCGTAAATGCGAAACTATGCGGTTACTATTTGCTGGAGTATGCTTTCTCTCGATGTTGGAATTCATTAGAATTTTAATTATTCCGATAATCCTTTACGGGGACGATTGGTTTAGTTGAGAATTTGCATTGCTTCAGGACATATCTTTCAGTTTTCTCGGACATAGGTGTATTATTAGGTTGTTAATGGTGTTCGAAGTTAAATCTAAGCCTTTTAAATGAACATAAATAGTTGAATTTGATAAATTTAACATCTCACCAATCTCACGTGTTGTTATTTGCCAGTTTACATCAACTAATGCACCTTTATTGTGTCAGGAAAAATACAAACAACCCAATATATTTATCAAAGGGATGATACAAACTTAAATTCATATTGTAATGTAACAAAATGAGTTCATTTGCACACCTCATAATCAATGTTACCTAATCTTCCTTACAATTTCATATTGACAATAAATAATGATAGTCACCCTAGCACGGTGACTATTAAACGCATATAAATCTTATTGAAATTGGGGGGGGGGGAGGGTAAGAGAAAGATAGATGAAGAAGTGAGAGAGGGAGAAAGAGAACGTCATAGTATCGAAGCGCGAGTAGGCCCACCCCACACCACCCGCCAAAAATTGCGAGTGAGTCGATTAATCGCTCGACGCGAGAGACATAATCGCGCAAAACTCGAGACGCTTAGTTGCCAATTCGTGGTATGTGAATTTCATCGAGCCGACTGCTAAGAGAGAAGCTGAGATATTCGGCAACACCGCCAACTGGTTCACTTTCTCTCGGTTGGCGAACTCGAACCACTCGCTTGTCGTCGTCTCTCCCTTCGCGTCGCCTTAAACTTCTCTTTCTCTCTCTCTCTCTCTCACTCGTCTATAATAAGTGTGTATGTGTATGTGTATGTGTGAGAGATTAAAAAGGAATAGAAAAGATACTAGGGTACGTGTGTGTTGATGATGTGTTTTTGTGTATGCGTCGTCTCTCCCTTCGCGTCGCCTTAAACTTCTCTTTCTCTCTCTCTCTCTCTCACTCGTCTATAATAAGTGTGTATGTGTATGTGTATGTATGTAAGTAAGAGTACGTTTAACTTGAACAATATACACGTTCCTAAGCGTGTAGGAGAGCATCTACGTAAGCCACCGCCACCGCCTTCTTCGAGAACGCCTGAAATTCACATTCCGTTTCGCGACTTATGGCATCTCAACATATTCGGAGGACTCCACTAACACCCATTGAAGGAAGAGGATGAGGAGGATGTCTGCTGGTTCTCAAAGTTTTACTCAAAAAGTCTTACTCAAAATTACTAACCAATTTTGTCTGCTTCTTCTTTTTTTACTTTGAGTTGATCGTACCCAACAAAATCCTATTAATTTTGACGTTAACACGTTTTAAGCGCCATGTGAATTTTTAGGAACATTATCGTCAGGCCACAGGTATTACTTTGTATTGAAAAAATAGATGAACGTGTCAGTCATCCGTGATGGACGTGGCTTAAACGTAAAGTCTAGTGTCAGTCACCGATGGCTGACGTGATGCTCAATATGTTTAGATGCATCAAAGAATCATCCTTATCTTATCTAACATTTTTCTAGTCATCTAACGCGATTACGAGCTATCAAAGATGAGCGTCAAAGTTGAGAGATTGGATTGAGTTGAAGGAGGACTTTCCACGTGGTATATTTGTCAAGATATGACCACAACCCCTAAGACCGCAGATCGTTGTCAACAACATTTCGTTTGAAATAGCAAATTGAAAATAAAATGAACTCAAATCCTGTACTTTACATATTCCCATTATAAAAATAAATAGGTTATTTTTTTCCAAGTGCCTACATTAGAGTTGTTTCTTTCTCCCTTTAACCTTTTCGTGTGTGTAGAAAAAGAGAAAGAGAGAGAGAAAGAAACGAATGGGAGACTCAACCAATCGATATCGATTGATTTCTAGGTCAGAAGAGGCAAGCAAGCAAGCAAGTAAGCAAACAGTCACGAGGTCCTTCATTTTCTCGTCCAACGAACCAACACACACCACCATCCATCCATCCATCCATCCATCCATCCATCCATCCATCCATCCATCCATCCATCCATCGTCTTTGCTGTTTGTATTTTACGCTAGCGCTTACGCGAACCATGAGAAAAAGACCAAACGATGGACTGTCTATAACATATGGCAGGTTGTGATTACATTTTTTTTTTTTTTTTTATAGTAGAAGAACCAGCCACAATCTTCATCGGCAACTTCCTCTTTGAATATAATCCGAACAGTCTCGACTGATATAAGGTCGAACGAACGAACGAACGAATGTGTTTTTATACTCAATCGAAGTAACGAACGTGAAAGATAAAAAAAAAAAAAAAAAAGCATATTGATAGAATGTCTCGTGTTTATCATTACTCTCGTAAAAAGAAAAATGTTACTCTTATCATTCCTTTCATTTTATTATAAGAGACTGAAAAGTAATCCAAATTTTGTTTTGCTGGTGAATAACATTTATTTATTAAAGAAATTTGAAATGGTAATTCAGAAATAATTTGTTCATCATTTTTTAATACTTAGTGTTTTATGTAATAGAAATTGTTCAATTTCCTGAAAAAGTCCTTCGATTTTTTATTGAAACAAATTAAATGTGAGTGTATTCATCAAAGAAATTTTGATTACCCTAATATTGGGTCGTCCCAAAATTTTATGCGTAGTATTAGGATCTCTAACACTTGGATACGCAATCTGGTGGCTAAATTCAAAATTAGAGTAGATAGGTCGAATTTTGCTACGCCACGTAGTGGGATTTCTAGCACTTGAATACGCTATCTGGTGGCTAAATTCAAAATTAGAGTAGATAGGTCGAATTTTGCTACGCCACGCCCCTGCCAGAGATCCCAATATATTTTTCATCTGTATTTGACATTATTTTACTAAAAAAAAAAAAAAAACAAAAATATCGATTCTACTTTATTTTATCTTTTATTATAATATCATGACATATTTAATTAAATATATTATATTATATTATATTATATTATATTATAATAATAATGACGAGTCTCACTCGTCAAATGTACCCAAAGTGTTAATCGAAAAATTTGGATAGTTTATTCCAAGTGAATATAAGTAAAAATAAAACTTTGGTAAAAATTTGAACGTTGAATACCAAATCCTTGAACCACGGTACTTGAATAAAGTATCAGGATAATATCTCCTGTCTCTTTCTCCTTCCACAAGTTTATCCGTTTTCCCTTTTAAACAAAACATTGAAAAAGTAGTTAATTATCGTTAAACACACTTGACACCACGAAATTTAA